CTCTCTCTCTCTCTCTCTCTCTCTCTCTCTCTCTCTCCCCACACACACACACACACAGACACGGACACAGGGCCTCGCCGCACGGTGCACGAAACGGAAAAAAAAACGACTTCGTTTTGTGAAGTCGTCGCCCCATAGCACCCACACGACCTCTGTCAGAAAAAACTCGTGACTGCTGTCAGTCTTTAAGTTCGCGAGGCCTCACGAGTTTGCCGACTCCTCCCTGCCTGCAGCCCTCGCGACCTCGTAGGTCCTCCGCTGGTAGGCTGGCGGAGCTTCGAAATCTCACGAGTGTGCTGCATCCCTCCAACCCAAGTCCATCCAAAAACTTGGACCGTAGCCAAAGTTCTTATTTATCTATGAGCTTACCTGTCAAGAATTTATTATTTTCCCACACTACTCTCGCCAGGGCGTTGTCGCGAGAGTTTTCGTATGTGCTGTGGGGCGCGGTGGATCAGGGGTCTCCCTCCACTACTCTCAACTCACGAAAAAATTTGTGAGTGCTTCTAGAGCTGTCAGAGGTAGAGAACTCGTGAAAAAGGAGGCGGCGCTCCACTTACTCCAGACTCCAGAACTGTAGAAGCACTCACGAATTTCTCAGCGCTAAGTGACAGCCCTTCTACAGCGCTAGGTGACAGTGCCAGCTCGTTCTGATGGTCGGGGCAGGAGGTACACTCACGAAAAAAAGAGGCCCCAGGGGGGGTAGGAGGGAGGACTCTAGAAACCATGAGCGCTGCAGGCTGTGAACTCTATACACGTCGAGAGTGCCCTTCGAGAGCGCTTTCTGATAGCTCTCGAAGGGTGTTGTCATGAGTTCAAGTCTAGAGTAAGTGGAGCGAGGCGTTACTCTCGAAACTTCGTGAGTCGAGAGTAGTGGAGCGAGACCCCAGGGCTTCGTGAGGCCTCGCGACTCTGGTGATAGTTTCGTTTCGTTAGTTGTGCCGTGCGGCGAGGCCCACAGACCGTGCCGCTCTGTGGCCGCACATACGTATGTGCGTGCGGAGTGCGGGCCCTGCGCTAATGGGTCTGCTTTGATCACAGTCAGCGTGATGTCTATGCAAGGGACGTCTGTTGGGTCTCAGATATCAAGGTGCTTTTGCAGCGCCTCGTCGTCGTTAGGTGTGACTGTTTTCGCGCCCGTTTCCCGGTGTAATCTTCCTGTTCTGATGCAGTATGTCCTCCGTCGGATTTGATAGCAAATCTCGACGGCCTGATCCTGTCCCCGCAGGACGCGGTTCCATTTCGACCGCGGTTTGCAATCATTCCCCCCAAACTCTCACGATGATTGTCATTTTCTCTCCTGTCTCTCTTCTGATTGCCGCGGTTCTGTGGTTTGCGGCAACCTCCCCATGCGGTGTGTCTCTTCTGCTCCTCCATCAAGTGCCCACGATGGAAGACAGGAGATCTCTGTCAAAGGGAAGAGTGGGAGGCCCCCGGCGCAGGCGAGTCGGCACAGCAAGGCGATCAATTTCAAAGACACCGAGCTGGATAAACTCCTCACCGAAGGGAAGGATCTGCCTGAGTCCGTTGCCGAGCTGTACTGGCGAGTCCTTGAGCCATCGCCGACAGGTGCGACCAACTTGCAAGGGCGACGGCGCACTAAGTTGATGAAACCAGCCAGCGCAGCAAAGCGCTGGTGCGATCACCGCCCGCGAGGTTGCGCTTCAGCGGATCGTCCACAAGGGTCTTTCTGCTCCTCCATCAAGCACCCGCCATGGAAGACATGAACTGCCATCCGCAGTGTCGATGAGTGCTAAGCGGAGGGAGCAAGGCGGCGGCCGACAGAGGAATGTGCGCAAGTTCAACGAGAGTGAGATAAAGGATATCCTCTCGCCGACCGAGGACAAGGATTCGCCCGAGTCCGTCACGAAGTTGCTCTTGCCAGTCCTCGAGACATCGGGGGGAAGCGGCTCTGTCGAGATTCACGGACGGCTGTCTGAATCTCGGCAGGCGCCGCGAGGCACTGCTGCGGTGAACTTCTCTGACAAGGCGATTCTGGAAGCCGCCACCAAAGGTGGAGAGCCGCACGCTCGCGTCCTTGAGGAGGTTATGGGTGACACCGGTCCGTTCGGGTTCGTAGACCGCGACGTGCTGACTTTTCGAGGCAATTTGCTCTTCCCTTCCTCCCCGAGTAATTACCCAGACGGACGCATCTATGTCGTCCAACCGTCCAGTGTGGACGGATCGATATTCTTCCTTACGTCTGTAGGAGTGTGGAGGTTAGGTAACAGATCAAGCGCGGACGGTGCTGATGCGGTCAGTCTTGCTGCTGGCCCGTTCCCCGACGTGCGAGCTTTCACGATCGTTGATGTGGACATGTACGGTGGGCAAGGGAGATTCCTTCTGGTGTCCGTGGCCGAGGGCAAGGGTAAGGGTGATACCCTGCGAGCTTTCAGGTTGGACTCGTATGAACCCCCTTTCAGCATCCGCAATGTTACGGGCTTGGAGACTAACATTCTTACCCTTGTTGGGGATCCGTCACGGCCCAACGTTTACTTTACAACGGACAAAGGGATCTTCAAGATGCAGCTCCCCTTATACGGATTTGGCTCAATAGTTCCCCTCGTCCGTGAAGAGTCGGCCATTGGATCCGCGCAAGCCAGCAGCCCCGGTGACGCGGGTTTCGAGCGGGTTCGGTTGAGCCAGCATGCGTTCTCTGCTTATGGGCAGCTTATGTACGTTGCCGACTGTTATCAGAACTCCGTCTACCGCGTTTGGTTTCCATGCGGACAGGTGGAGCGGATCCAGGGGGGGTCAGTCGCAGTGGATTTGGCCTGCCCCTATGGATTAGCGTTAACGTCGGACGGTTGTAACCTGTTCGTGTCAGAGTTTAGGACAGGGAGGATCACACTAATCACCTTCGAGAGCAATGGTGGCCACGTGAGGAGCATCCGAACACTCGCAGGTAGGAGCAGCGGTCGCTATACGGAATCGTCCATGGACCTATTCGGTTTGGCGATCTCCCCAGGTGGGTCGTATCTATACGTCGGAGCGGACGACGCGATCTACAAGTTCGACATAGACACTTGGGGCTTGCCCTCCTGCTCAAATTCGTACTCTGCTGCTGTCAGGAGCTCCAGCCCCCAGGCTGCCAAGAAGCAAACCGATCTCACACCCGTTGTCATCACTCTAGCCGTCGTTTTGCCCGTCGTATGTACCGCGTTCGGTGCATTACTGGTCTGGTGTCTCTGCGGCTTACAGCGGCGGCGGCGAGAGGCGGAGTCACGAGCAATCGAGAGGCCCGTGCAGTCAATCGATACCATAGATGCCCGGGCGCCGCGATCGCAGCAGATCGAGCCAGTGGCTTTCACAAACAATTCGACGGGTGCGGGGAACTGGTGGCAAAGACCAGCCGGAGGAGGGACGTTGGCCAATGATCGTCTTGACGTTGTTGCTGCGTAGCGTTCGCTTTCCTTTTTCCTCAAAAACGGCCCAGGGGCAGAATAAGACACCTCAATCAGGCTACCATCGCGGATCATCGTGACGAAGACGGTTTGTCCAACGCCCAGTACTGCTCATTAGGTGATGTGGACAGGGGGGCGAATAAACTGCGAGAAGGTATGTCATCCGTCAATGAAGCCGATGTTAAACCACCAGAACTTGGCCCAGCTATCGGCGGCGGGAAAAAAAAAATAGAATAGAAACGTTTATAGTCGGATGAATTTGGGCGCTCCTGTAGTGGCCCGTACGTTTCTTAAAATCGTGGCTTGTATACGGGCAGGACTTTTCTGGCGTAGGGTTCACAAGTCCGCGTTTTGAATTTGAAAGGTACGCATTATGCGATTCGATGAAATGGGCTGGAGGAGAGGTAGATGGATGGCTGATACACTAGGCGAGTAGTCGACGGTGCAAGTAAGATCACGTGTTTTTCAATTCCCTTCTTATAAGGTACGCGCATTTTAAAGCGTCCTATCGTGGTTTTCGACTCTGAACAGTGTCACAAGGGAGTGATCATTGATGTAGGGGATAGGTCCGCGAATGTACGAAATTCACCCCGGGTTGTGTGTGTGTGTGTGTGTGTGTGTGTGAGAGAGAGAGACTGTGTGTGTGTGTGTGTGTGTGTGTG